AGCCTGTTGGAGAAACCTCATCTCTACCAAAACAATACAAAAATTAGCTGGGCATGGTGGCAAACACCTGTAATCCCAGCTATCCAAGAGGCTGAGGCACGAGAATCACTTGAACCCAGGAGGTGGAGATTACAGTGAGCTGAGGTCGTGCCACTGCACTCCAGCTTGGGCAACAGAACGAGACTCCAACTCAAAAAAAAAAAAGGCAGAATGTTGATGATGACTGACACTGGGTGACAGGGACAATCAGTGAAAGGGATCTTTATACTATTATCTTTACTTTTGCATATATTTAATTTTTTTCATAACAAAATACTTTTTGAAAACAAAATATATGATTCTCCAAATTAAAAAATCTAACTTGGAATTGCACAATTAAAGGAATGCCTATTACCACATGGAGCTGTATACATTTAAAGAAAGTATACTAGAGACTTGAATATCCCTCCCTCACCTTAGCAATTTATCAAAATACTAGACAGGACATCATCAAGGTTATAGAAAAGGCAGCTGCAACAAACAACAGCAGAATGCACATTCTTTTCAAGCACCCATAGAAAAGTGAGCATGATAAACCATATCCTAGGCTGTGAAACAAACCTCAACAAGTTTATAAGAATTAAAACAATACAAAGTATGTTCCATAAGGGAATCAAACAAAAATTAATACCAGAAACAAAACAGAGAAAATCGCCAAGCAAATGATTAAATAACAAATAAAAACAACCTTAAAAACCCACAAAATATTTGAAAATTAATAGCACTCTTCTTTAATGACCCACAGGTCAAAGAAGACATCGCCAAAATAATATTTAAAATACATAGAGTTCCATGTATAGACAGTAAAAAACCAACCTATCAAAATCTGTGGGATGCAGGCAAAGCAAGGCTGAGAGGGAAATTTATAGTATTAAAGGATTACATTAGAAAGGGAAAAAGCTACAAATCAATAATGTATGCTTCTACCTCCAAAAACTAGAAAAAGAGGCCAGGCATGGTGGCTCACTCCTCTAATACCAACACGTTGGGAGGCCAAAGTGGGAGGATTGCTTGAGCCCAGGAGTTCGAGATCAGCCTGGGAAACATGGCAAAACCCCATGTCGATTAATAATACAAAAATTAGCCAGGTGTGGTAGTGCGCGCTTGTGGTCCCAGCTATTTGGGAGGCTGAGGTAGGAGAATCACTTGAGCCTGGGAGGGCAGAGGATGCAGTGAGCCAAGATGGCGCCACTGCACTCCAATCTGGGCACCAGAGCCAGACCCTGTCTCAAAAATAAATAAATAAATAATAAACTAGACAAAGAAGAGCAAAAGAACTCAAAAGCAAGCAGAAGGAACTAAATAATAAAAACTAGAAATCAACAAAACTGAAAACAAAAGATCATTGTAACACAATCCAGTTATTAGAGAACAAAATAATAAAATCGACAAATTAATTGATTGGTCTATTAGTCAACCAGACTGGCAAAGATAAAAAGACATCAATATTAGGAATAAAACAGTAAATATCATTATAGATGCAGCAACCATTTAAAATACAATGAGAAGGCCAGGCGCGGTGGCTCAAGTCTGTAATCCCATCACTTTGGGAGGCCGAGGTGGGCGGATCACAAGGTCAGGAGATGGAGACCATCCTGGCTAACACTGTGAAACCCCGTCTCTACTAAAAAAAAATACAAATAATTAGCCAAGTGTGGTGGCGGGCACCTGTAGTCCCAGCTACT